CTCAGCTCCTGGTCTGAGATCGTGACTGGGCAGAAAAAAAAAATAATAAAATAAAATAAAATAAAATAAAATAAAATGTAGTTGTTCCTTCGGTCGAGGCTCTGGTACCCACAGAAACCACAGAAGCTGCCTACCACAGGACAGTCTGGCACTTCTCTAGCATCCTCTGGATGGTTTAGCATGGTTAAACTGCACGATTTAATCAGTACACGAGGCTGTGTATAGCTTCCCACTCAGTTTGGGTTCTCCCAGAAGCAGGACCTGAGACGAGGACTCCTAAGCAGCTACTTTGGGAAGCTGGAGCAGGAAAGTGGGGACACAGGGAAAGGAAGGTGACAGGGAAGTGTCTTCTACGGAGGTGTTTCCAGAATAGACAACCACCTGATTCCCTCGGGAATCTCCGAGACAAGAGGCCACAGGCGTGCCCCTCCTGTGAAGTCTTCCGGTGGGGAGACAGAGCGGCCACGCCCAGCAATGGACAGGGGACCCAAGGGATGGGAGGGGACAGTGTGGCTTCGGACAGCTGTGTCACCATTCGGGGTCATAAGATTTTGATAACTGTGTCCCCGTATGGTCAGTTTGCCTCGTCATCCTGTGCATTTGATGCACCTGGGCACATTCTGTGAAGGGATCCACTGGCCTCACCAAATGCTCAGGGATCTGGGCACCATTAAAGGAAGAACCAGCTGTGGTTTAGAAAATTCAGAGGAGGTGACAAGTAGTGGCAGCTCCTCCCGGATGCCACTCGGCAGATCCCAGCTTACGGGAGGCTCAGCTGGGCAAAGGGACCAGAGAGGTGGACCCCAGAGAGGTGGAGGGGAAACCCCAGATTGCACCTCAAACAGACTGTTAAAAAATGATGGGGAGGATGGTGGGGCATCAGAAATCTCAACAGACTGGATGTTTGATGATACTAAGGAACTCCTGTTTTGTTTTTGTTTTTTTAATGTTTATTTATTTTTGAGGGAGACAGCGAGCGAGCATAAGCAGGGGAGAGGCAGAGAGAGGAGGAGGGAGAGAGAGAATCCCAAGCAGGCTCTGCACCATCAGCACAGAGCCTGATGCAGGGCTTGAACCCACACACTGTTAGATCATGTCCTGAGTTGAAATCAAGAGTCGGATGCTTAACTGACTGAGCCACCCAGGGGCCCCTTGTTTTGGTTTTTTAAAGGATGATATGAGATGGTATTTGGGTGTTTTTTAAAATCTCTCAGTCTTGGGGCACTGGGGTGGCTCCGTCGGTTGAGCGTCAGACTTTGGCTCAGGTCATGATCTCACGATTGGTGGGTTCGAGCCCCGTGTTGGGCTCTGTGCTGACAGCTCAGAGCCTGCTTCGGATTCTGTGTCTCCCTCTCTCTCTGTTCCTCCCCTGCGTGCACTCTGTCTCTCTCAAAAATAAATAAGACATTTAAAAAAATTAAAAAACATCTCTTACTCTCATCTCCTAGAGATACATCTTGGAGCAGTGACAGATGAAGTGATATGGTGGAGAGGGTTCCGGATAACGGGGTGGGGGTGAGCGGCCGATGGGGACAGAGACGGAGCAGAAAGGGTCCCAGGGGAACAGCAGATTTTCATCATACTCCTCTCTGTGCTCATACCTGTCTACAAGTTTCCAGAATAAAGACTGAAGAATCTCCATGGCCTTACCACACGGGCACAAGGTCCTAGCCCCTTGTCCCCAACCACTCCGCTGCACCCTGTGCCCACCACCTCCACGTTCCTGGACTCCACTGTGCATGCGCCTCTGCTGGGGCCTGGCCTCACCCTGGGTCTGAGTTTCCTGGAGCTGCTATAATGAATGAGCACAAACGTGGTGCTTACAAGAGAAATCCACTCTTAGGTTCCGAGATCAGAAGTCTAAGACGCGGGGGTGAGCAGGGTTGTGTTTCTCTGGAGAATCCAGGGGAGTCTCCCTAGAACATCTCCTCTCCCTGGCTCTGCCCCCCTCTTATAAGGACCCTGTGGTGACTCTGCCCTTACAAATAATCCAAGATCGCCCCCCCCCCCCAACCTCAAGACCCTTAGCTAATCCCATCTGCAAGGTCTCTTCTGCTGGGTAAGGGACAGGATCACAGGCCCTGGGTCAGGATGCAGACATCTTTGGGGTTTATCATTCAGTCACACATCCTCCTTGCCAGCTTACCCCCGACTGCACTCTGGTCTCTGCCTAAAGGTCATCCTGTCCAGGGGCCTGCCCTGGCCATGGCAACCTGAGACTGCCCTCCCCCCCCCACCCCCTGCAGGCCTCACCTCGCCCATCACTCTCCTTAGTCTCAGTAGCTGAACCACTTCCCCACCTTTGGTATTTGTCCACACCTGTGTCATCTTCCCTAGTGAAATGGGAGTCAAGGCAGCGAGGGCTCTTGGGCACTGAAGGGTCCATTAGAAGAGTACCTGGCGAATAGCAGACACTCATTAGAGTGTGCTGCACATGGGAATGGATGAATGGATAGATGGTGGATGGGTGGATGGATGAATCGATGAATGGATGGTTAGAGGATGGATGAATGGATAGATGGATGAATGGATGGATGGATGG